CACCGAGGACCTATCCACATCATCATTCACCCAGAATGCTTCATGTGTAAATAAATTGGCTCCGTCTGTGTTAAAATATATTTTTAATAATTTACAAGACTAAAATGCCTACAGTATTTTTACAGTCTTTAATTTACAGTTAAAATATATGTTTATAAAATAAAGTCTAATGTTACAACTAACCAGGGATCCCTTTAAAAAAGTTAAAAACACYGATAGCAGCAGCCCTGCTGATTGGAAACGTTTCTAAACAGACCTAAACTTGGACATTAGAAACTTCTTCAGTAGAACTAAAGAGTGATGCTTACTGCTCCACAAAGACACAAACCTCTTTCACTATGAAACAAGAAAGATCAGTACAGTCCAAAAGGGTCAAAATCAAGATTCTGACACTGATATCATGAATTTACTAGGTCCAATAGAAAAATATTTATTTGCTTGCACGTCACATTAGAGGTTATGTTATGTCACCAACATTACAACCAACTTTAACAATGGATCAATCAGCCAGTGAGAGAAACCTACTGGAAGTTATGACTAATAAAAACTTACAAAATAAAAATGAAACGAATGCTTGATGCAAATATTACTACTTATTCATAAGTAAAAAGTTTCACGAGTGTGTGATCGTACCAGTTTAGCTTGCTGTGCGTTGACGGGGTCACTGAACTGCAGAAGAGCCTGAAACTGGTTGTTCTTAGTGAAGGTTATAATCTTCATCACAGTCCCAAATTTACTGAAAATCTGATTACAATAAGAAAAACAGGCAAAGATTACAGCAGATTTTTAACTATCCTAGTTAAAGCTACACAGAAATATTTATTATCAATCATCAGGGGTTTAAGAAATTCAGGATCTGTAAAGATGGTGGTCACCATGTACCGATTTATTTTCTCTGTCTGTAAAGTCTTTTTTGAGATCCAAACAGTAAAATAAAAACAAAGCCTAACATTTGTGAGCAGAAAACCTTACCTGCTGTAAAACATCCAGTGTTACAGGATAAAACATGTTGTCAATAATAATTCGCAGGACAGGGCTCGGGGGCGGAGCGAGCTCTAATACTCCCTGGTCAGACGATGGAGAGCTTCCGTCCTGGACTGCTGATACGGCTTGTAGCACTGCCTGGGCTCTCTGGAAACAAAACAAGGTTGAGTAAAGCTACGGAGCTCAACACAGCAGGAACATGAGCAAAGTGAAAGAGCATCTCCACATGAATACCTGGTTCAGAGCAGAGTCTGTTTTCAGTTCTTTATGGTTGGAGTACTGGATGAAGACAGGAGAGTTTCTGACCTAACACAACACAAAACGTCTCAATGTTAAAAAATAAATATTAGATGAAATGAATCAAAGCTGGTAAGGTTCAGACCTGTGGTGTAACGGCCGTGTAGTAGTTCACCATCGTAATAGCCGCTTCCTCTGTACCCAACTCTAAAAAGGCCTGAAAAAAGTACAGAAATGTTCAGATTTTAAGACTGACAAATATCCTCAATGATAAAAAGTTTTCCCGCAGTATGAACTGAATGGACGTGTTTACCTGGTTCTTCCCTTTCAGCATCAGTATATTGGTGACTTTTCCAAAGGGCAGCCCCAGTGCGATGACCTCAGTCTCGGTCACTTCATTGGGCAGTTTTCTGATGTGCAGGACTCTGGAGGGAGGCGACTCATCCAGCCGCTGCTTCTTACTTTCACTACCGTTTGCTGAACAGATACACGCACGGATAATAAACACGTTAGTACAATAGCTTGTTCACTCGTATAAATATCCTCACATTCTTTTTGTGACAAGAAATAACTGTAATTTATGATCAGCAGCTGTCATCCTGCAGACAGAGTAACATTTTGCACAAAAGATGACAACTGTGGCGGTTCTTTTGCTGACTAGGAATCTAAAAAAACATAAGAACTGATTACTTTTCTAACAATTTCTGTTATTAGTGGATCACCTGCAGAAATCAAGGACTTATGCCTCTAACTGCAGCCTAAGTCAGGTCTGTCACCAAGATGAGTCTCAAATACAGCTACAATAAATGACAGAGATGCTACAAGCTGGGGTGGTGACCAAACACCATGAGAAGATGCTACTTTTTATTCTAAAATTAAATCATCTTTAAGGAGGAGATGAGGCAAACCCTGGATAGATCACCGTCAAAGCAGCAAGAAGCTGTTGATGAAGTGATCATGTTTCAGAAATCTATCATAGTTCAGACTAAACTCACCTGTCATTGAGCTGGGGCTGCTACTGTACAAGTTGAGCTCATCTGAGCCTCTCTAGAAAATAAAAAAATAAAACATTAATTCTACACAATGACCAGGAAGCAAAATCTATATGTCWATTTCTAATATGAAACAAAGTATCATAAAGATAATGGTCCTTAACAAATGTGTAATTATTAATAAGGMATATTTACCTTCACACCAACTGCAACATCACTGCAAAGACAAAAATTAACAGACATTTAAAAAAGGCAACAAAAAATTGGATATTTTAGTAATAGTGTGACGAATTTCTTTAACATTGTGATAACAAATATCAATTTCAAAATCAAAAGAATTATTCACCTCCACATTAACTTCTCATGTTTATTACTTCTAATCACATCATGATTTATAGTCTGGACAAACAGTAAAACCATCAATAAACCAATAAATACCACATATTGTTTTATTTAACCTACACTCAGATAAAACCTACATTTACAACCTTGAAACATATGAATGAACATTTTTCAGTCATCATCCCAACAATTAAGTCAATCAAGCTGACAAAGAACACAGAAAACTAATCCATCTGAATTAAATTATAGGCTGCTGTTTGTGTGTRCAATAAACATTAGCTTTTGCCATTCAATAAAAAATAAACCATCAAAGATAAATTTARTGCTTGAAAATACATTTTAGAAAAACAGATGTATTTATAAAACAGCAAATTAAAATGTGCAATAAGAAAATAAAAACATGACTTATCTATGCTCCTAAATGATTAGTCTGGTAATTTCCATTTCAAGGAAGTCAGTTCTGTTTTATTTATCATTTATCCAGTTAATACTTTAACACGTYCTTTTTACATGCCCTGTCTGTAAAATGGGAAACAATGGTTTGCAATTTTAGAAGGATCTGATATTTTTAACACCACAGTTGTATTGCAGCTATCAGGTATTGGAGAAAATAAAAACAAAACGTGTTTAATGCACAGTTTTTAGAGCCACAGCTTCTCCTCAGACAAACAAAGGACTGGTTGATTTAGTCGGGATTAAGCTAGCAGCAGAGTACAAGTGTACAGACGACGTCTATTACCATGGTTCATAACAAACAGTTTAAAAATACATCATTTTACCACAATCAGTATCTATCAACATTTACTAAATCTCAATTCTGACATGATCAAATGATAACAGCGCTTGGCTAATCTACGCCCAGCACTATGAACGGTTTGCTAAATTGCTAAGTAGGCGTAGGAGCCTTAAATTAAATTCATTTTATAATACAATAAATAATGCCGGAATCTTAGAAAAGAACAACAGTTTCATTGCTTGACGGGACTCGCTGGCTAATCATATCACGTTTTCCATAAGGTTTACAAACAAGCTAACATGTAGCATGTTTTAAATTAGGCAGAAGGAAAGTCGCACTCTTCCAATGTCACATGCAGAACTATATACATGCGCCCATATTATTAGCTGTAGCATGATTTGGAAAGGTTTACCCGTCCATTGCGTTTCTTTGTCCTCTTCTGTGTTGATATGTCAGCGGCAGAACAGTGAGCAGCGCAGGCAAAATGGGCGTTCTTCTTCTTCTTCTTGTTGAATTTTAATGGCGGTTGGCAAGAAACGTCATGTAAGCATTACCGCCACCAACTGGTAAGGAGTGTGAACCACATGACATAAAAAACTGTCCTATTAAACAAATTACACTGTTTTAAAAAAATTAAATAAGACCTCATACCCTCTACTTCCTGAATCTTTTTGTAATAAATCAACAATATCAAATTTCATTTTCATGCTACTAAGATTTCTAATTAACTTATTTCTTTGCATCAAATAATTCCTACACCTCAAAATAACATGTTCCACTGTCTCATCTTCCCCGCATTCACATTTCCCTGTCTGATGTTTCCCCATCAGAAATAATGACCTATTTAGTCCAGTATGTCCAATTCTAAACCGTGAAATAATTATCTCTTCTCTCCTGATTCTTTCTGTTCTTCTCATTTGACCAATATTCTTTTGAATTTTATATAACCACCTTCCTTTCTTTTCTTCTTCCCATACCTTTTGCCACCTCTCTCTTGTTTTTTTGTATATTATACCCTTTATTTCTGTTATACTAAAMCTAACATTAATATCTATCCTCACATGATTAGTACTCTTTTTGGTCATTCTGTCTGCCATTTCATTACCCTTAATCCCTTGATGTGCTGGAACCCAAACAAAATTTACTGTTAGCCCCATCATATTGATTCTGTAAAGTGTTTGTTGTATTTCAATTAATATATCTGGTCTACTATCTGATATAGCCTATTATTTTGCAAACTGAATAACGAAGAACTAGAATCTGAACAAATAATTGATTTTAAATGGTCTTACCTCTTCCACMCACTGAASTGCTAAAAGCAAAGCAAGCATTTCTCCTGTATACACTGAGACTCCATCACTGATCCTTTTCCCTACTTTAATTTGAAGCTGTGGCACAATAAATGCTATCCCTACCTTATTAGCTGTATTTTTTGATGCATCTGTGTAGATTTGTATACAGTTATAATATTCATTTAAGTATTCTTGTATCATTTATCTATTCATAATGCGAAATTTATCTTTGTTGTTCTTTTCTAAAAAAGAAAAGTCAACCTCAACATCAGGAAGTATCCAAGGTGRMACTGCAGATAATGGAACTGCCTGACATATATCTAACTGATTTAAATTAATTTCAGGGCTTTAGAGTTTATTATCCATCCAAAGCTCTTTAATTGTTTCTTTTCCTTTTCCCAGCCATGTTTAAGCACCTCTAATGTTGGATGATCAATTCTTTGTCCTTGTAAATTTGACCAATAATTTAAGGATAGTTGATCGCTTCTAAGTTTAAGAGGTATTTCTCCCATTTCAACCTGTAATGHTGCTGTTGAAGATGTTTTAAAAGCACCRGTACATAGTCTTAAAGCCTGATGTTGGATAATATTTAACTTATGGAGGTTTGATTCTGCTGCTGAATTGTAAACTATACATCCATAATCCAATACTGACCTAATTAACCCAGTATAAATTGCTTTTAATGATTTTCTATCAGTTCCCCACTCTGTTCCAACTAAATACCTCATTATATTTAATACTTTCCTACATTTATCTATTATTTCCTTAATATGCACTCCCCACGTCATTCTTTCATCAACAAGAAACTTAAATTGTTTCTTTCTAAATCCTGTCCATATAATTTTAATTTAGTTTTTTCCATCAACTCTTTTCCTTGTAAAAAACATTATTTTAGTTATCTCTACAGAAAGTTTAAACCTAATTTTGTATTTTAATTTGTTGGAGAAATTGATCAGACAGGTAGCCACACAGCTTTCTGGATCAGATTTCTAATAAAATTTTGAATTTGGCAATAACACTCAGTTAACAAAGTTAAATGGGGGCAAGGCCTCTTGTGAAATAATTATACRAAAGTAAAAAAACAAAAACAAAACAGTGCATCCTACAAGGCCCTAAGACTCAACTCACAGACAGATGACTTCATGACCGCAGCTCTGTGCATCAGAAAAAGGCTTTATTCAAATTATGAAGCAGATCAAAGAACAATTTCCTTAAACATTAAGATGTAAATTTGTCAATCAGCAAATACCTTTATACTGTCAGGATGATGAGAGGATAAATACAAAGTCACTTTATCATGAAGTGAACAACAAATCACTGATAATATAAATCTTAATCTTAGTGTTTCTGCTGCCATTAAAGCAAATAAGTATATTATTTATTGTAAAATATTTACTCCAAAGCACCTGGGCTAATCAGTTAAAGAGAAATATCAGGAAGCATCAAATTAATCACTTTTGAACACTTTACATTATTGGGGCTTAATTTTATCAACATCATTTTTGCTATATTTGATGTCATTTCTTTATTATGCAGAAAACTATATATATTTTTTCTGTTCCTTTAGCAGACAGGACTAACAGGTATCCCCCTCTTGGGTACATGAGGTGTTGTCCTATTAACCATCTTGATGCAGTCTATAATTGGACAGACACTGAGGCACAGAGTGCAGCCCGTACAGCTGTCAGTCACAAAGGGAAGGTGGGTCTCTGGGTCAAACCTTATGGCCTGGGCAGATAGAAAAACAGTCATGTTATAGCACTGAAAACATAAAATTTGTCAATTTTTTAATGAAAAAAAATGCAGGTTTTGTAGATAAGCACAAATGAACGACATACCTGGTATCCAGAGTCATTGCAGGTCATGTAACATTTACCGCAATTGATACACATGTCTTCATCAATTAGAGCCTGGACCTGAAAATGAAGGAATTGTTAGTAATCTGGTTTTAGTGGAATCAGTTAACTTGGTAAATTCAACACTTCATTGTCTTAGTTACAGTAATATCACATGTGGTGTGCCTCAGGGTTCTGTACTTGGACTTAAGTTGTTTATATTTTATCTTAATGATTTGGTAAATGTGTCAGGACTTTTTAAATGTGTATTATTTAAAGATGATACAACAGTTTTTTGTTTGGTAAAATATATAGAACAGCTGTTGGAAACKATACAGAATTTGTTAAAATACAAACTTGGTTTAAACTAAAAAATTATCATTAAATTTGGATAAAACTAACTATATGATATTCAGTAATAGAAAAGGAATTATTGATGTTCCATTTAGGGTTGATGATGTTGAGATTTGCAGAGTCATTGAGGTGAAGTCTTTTGGTGTTATTATTGATGAAAAGCTGACATGGAAATCTCACATAAATTATTTAAGAACAAAAATAACCAAATCCATTCCAGTATTGTATAACGTAAGTGAGTTATTTAATGATAAAGCTTTGTTTTTGTTATATAATGTGATAATTTTCCACACTTGATTTATTGTATTGAAGTCTAGGGGAAAGCACGTACAACAATCACAAATCCCATTTTAATTTTACAGAAAAGAGCCGTAAGAATTATTACCAGAATGTTAAGAGAGTAACTAATTACAATCTTAAGGAACTAGAGATGTTTGTAAAAAATTTGAACAAATTTGAAGGACCGATGCACTTCAGTCCAAGGAATAAGACTGTGGAATAATCTGGGGTCGGATTTATAAAACTGGCGTACGCACAATATGACCCCAGAAACTTGCGTACACCACTTTTTACGCCAAGGTTGTGATTTATAAAATMCAAACTTGACGTGAAAATGTGCGGTGCCTCACGCCAGCTTTGACCCATGCGTATGCTCATTTTGGAGACAGGAAGCTGTGACACAGATGGTGAAGTGACTTAGATTTTTATTCAACTTTATCATCAGCTTTCTTAACAGTAATATGCTGCTGTTGGTGAGCCATAAGGACCATTGAAATAAAAACAAATCTTAAATAAAAGTTTATGCATCTCCATTCATCTCCTTCCTCCTCACGACCCTGACCCACTGACCCCTCCCCGACAAGAGACATTTCAACAGCACGACAGCAAAAGTCACGCTTTGATACACGTGCAGGGTGCGCCCCTCACCAGTGTGGATGTTTTAAAAATTCATTTTTTAAAGTCCGTATTTGTCACACATGGTGGCGGTGGTCTGCCGCAGATAACAGAGCAGGCAGGAGGGGGAGAAGATGGGGAGAAGAGTGGTGAAGTCATCACTAATTTTATCTGACATTTTATTTTTATTGTTTTTTATCATCCTGCAGGCTCTGAGAGAAAATTAATTTGAAGCTGAGTTTTTGATAAAAAATCTTTAGATTACTCTAAAGCAAAATGAGGGAAAATCTGTGTCAATTATGGACATTCTGTTCACGTGAGCAGTTGTCAGCACCTGTCATCCTCCAGATGCACGATGGAGCGTGTCTGTGCCAATCACTTCTTTTGACATTGATCAGCTTACTGATATAAATACACCTTAACATTCATGAGGTACTTGCATTTACTGTTTATGGTTGAGTGTGGATGTGTAGAGGGTAGAACCTGAGGCGGTACCTTGTGCGCAAACTCTGAGGTGAAGCTGTGATCTATAAAGGTAAGATGCACAGAAACATGCGTACGCACGATTTTATAAATCTGAATTTTTTTTGGTGTACGCCATTTCTGCCCTTTTGGCCGCACGTTCATTTTTAGAATGGTTTCCACGCAATTCTTTGTAAATCTAACCCCACACAGTAAAAAACAAAGTATCTAATTAACACCTAGAGAGTTGAATTTAACTCTGTTTCATATAATATTTGGTCCCACTCAAAATT